TTTTGTGGAACCTTGTTTTTGTCTCTCAGTCACCGTATGTGATTCTGCTTTGAATCTGATGACCTCGGCCCAGACCCGTCTGCTCCTCCGGTGGTATACATAGTGAGCAAGGCATTTCCAGTGCAGCTGCAGTATTGCAGCCCCAGAACATCATCTGTTTGCAGAGACAGGTGAAGCTCCTGCCTCTGTCTTGAAGGAACTTAAAGGACAAGATATGGTGATACTCATATCAAGAAACATGTAAAGAGAGGCTGTTTCAAATGCCTTCTGGTGCAGACCATCTGTTTACAGAAAATTAAGGCCTTGTAATTGCAAATGTTCAGGGGCCTGAACTGAATCAACAAATCCTTGTCTGGTCACTAAAGCTTTGGTCTGGCACCAGAGGCTCTTGAGCTGGCTTTTATAATGTGTAAGGCTTAAATTCTTCCTGTGGCAACTGGATGTATGTTAGGCAAGTGTTTTAGACCTCAAAGGAAAGTTACTGTGTTTGTTAACCTTACTTTTCTTTGGCTTAGCCTTGTTTCCTCGGAGGTAAGATGGAAGCCTCAGCTTAAGTCCAATGAGCTGTGTGTTGTCAGCCAAAGAATTAAGTGACTTCAAGTGACTTTAGCTCTTCTAACAATACAAAAGCTGAAACAGTTTTGGTTAAACTGGGAAGGAACTAGTAATAATAAGGATCTCAGACTAGCACTTGTGTAACTGGGTGTCTGTTTCCAGTCCTTTTATATTCTTCATTTGAGCAAACCATTTTTTCCCCTCTCGGTTCCCATCTGTGAAGTGGGAAGACTTATTAATATATATTAAAGTAGATGTATTCTACCATAATAAGCACTGTAGAGTAATAAGTATTCAAATTGCTTCAATTTTGAAACTGTGTAATAACATGTAGAATTATATGTACAAGCTTTTTCTTTACAGTTTTCTTGAAAAACTGGCTTTATTTGAAGTATGTGTACTTTGAAAGTTAACGCATCTTTCCTTTAGATCTGTAATTTGGTAATTTTTTTCATTTGTTCTGGAATAAAACAGTAGATCTTTTAGAATATGCATTCTGACATAGTAACTAGGACAAGGGGGAGAAAAGGTATTGTCTGATAAAGATCTGTAAGAGAACTGAAGGGTACATAATTCAGCTTTTTAAATTAGAATTGCAACAAGATTCTAGTGAGTTTCTAAAGAATTATTAAATGCTAATAGTTCTAATTTCTAAAGTACAAATTAATTATTGCCTATTCTATGTTAGTTAAATGATACAAAGGTTCAGAATTAGTGATTTAAACACTACCTTTAATTTTTTGTAATGTTGTGATTGATCTGTATCAATATTTTCAGTATTGTTGTTTTTTCTTCGGCCATTGTTCACCATGCAAACGAAGGCGCTGTAAGTCTTTATATATACATTTTACTGGCTAATAATGACTTTTTTTAATTAGCTAGTTAATTTATGGTTTTGTATTCCAAAATATCATTTGTTGCTGCTTACGTAGCACGTCAGTATCTTGCTTTCCTTTTGTTATATTTAATACATGCTTGATTTGACTGAAGAATCAAAATATTTTCAGAAGGCTCTGTTTTGTGACTTCTGTATCTACAAACTACAGAGGAAAGAGAAGTCTGGGAGGGGGCTGCTGCTTGGTACACTTAATTTCTGTCTATATCTACTAGGTGCTATGGTGCAGAGTGTGAAATATATTCCTTTTATTTTGAACTTATCTAGATCTGTTTGCAATGCCGAGTTCTCTTATGGCAACACAATGGCAATAAAATGGATTAAGCCTTACAGTGGTTTATCACTGCCAGTGGGCAAAATCACATTAATTTTGTTTTCATTCTTCATTTGTGGTTTCTAGCTTGTTTTGTGGTCAGTTTTCATATTCATTAGCAGATTTCTTATGCTCACTGCAGTTTTCTGTGCACTTTCTGTATCATCTTTTGAAAGATTATGCAATACAATGTCTCCGTTCTGTTTACATGACAGCTTGCACAAGTTGAAGATGAACTCATACTCTTCATGTAAATATTTGTACTTCCCCTACGTAATTTTAAAATAAAATACCATTGTCTCAAAACAACTCTGAGTAATCAGTAAAGACTTTCATAGGTACAATGTGCATGCTTAAAACCAGAAACATGCTCAAGTTTTACATTTGTCTCATTGCTGAAGTATGAAAATTCAATTAACGTTGCTATTGCTTTATTATCAACGTAGAAGAGAGATTTTAGTGAAATATACAGCTTTTAAAATAGCTAAGCTATTTTTCATTTGTCAGTCCTTTCTAATGTATTGTAACATTAGCTCATGAATACGCAGAACTAACAGTCTATGGAGTATGAATAGTCTTGAGATGTCTGCTGTATGGTGGTAATGTGGATTTATGTGGCTAGTTACATCTCCTCAGGTCAATTCTGCTTTTGAATGGAATTAATATTTAATACTGTTTTCTCCATCTCTTCAGCATTAAATAAAGTAGACTTTAAAACCCGACTTTCTTTTTGGAAACACTGAGTTCATTGTTGCTCAGGCAGGCATAAATGCTGATGTTTACCACAAAAGCAGGAAAGCTTTTTCTAAAAACCCTCCCACATCATTCTGTCTTAAAAGCCAACTGGAGTGAGGGTGACTGTTCTAAATTTTTAATATATTGTGGTATGAAGTCTATTCATTTTCATTTGAAACTGTCAGCTGACATTGCAGCTAGCCTGGGAAATTCATTTCATAAATTTAATTGTGTTTGTTCCATTTACATTAATGCTTTATTCACTTAAAGGCTCTTAAAGCACTGTTCATGAAAATGAGTGTAAGGAAAGGTGACTTTCTGAGAAATGAAGTCTTTGATATTGATGATATAGGATTAATCTGATCTATCATTTTTACTACTTATCAGGCAGTATTTTCTGAACAGACTGACATTTTGTTTTAGGGATATTGATGTTTGAAAGCCAATAAACAAAGGCTAAATCAGGTAAATGAAGAGGAACCCAAGAAATTGCTGTGTCTTGTTACCCAATAGTACTTGTAAAACTTCTAGTTGTCTTGCCCAAGGTACAGATTTTGAGTTTTGTTTCAATAACAAAAATATTTGGATCTTTTCACTAAAGGATTACATCATGCTGTTGACTTGCAAAACTTGGTGTCAAGAACAAGCGGAAGTGAACTGAGGCACTGCAAGTTAATGTACGGCTTTCAGGAGCGGTGATGGGCAGATCTGTGACCTGCAAAATGCCATGTGGAGCAGTCTAGGAGCAGTACCAAAAGCAAGCTAGCTATGCTAATGTGACATTGTGCCCAAGCAAATGTTGCCAGTCTACTTCTCAGGGTAGCGTTTCCCCTTTTTATTTCGCAATGGTATGCTGTGTTGACATGCCACAACCTCAAGCCCAAACACGCTGTCCCAGGTATTTGTGCTCTGTTGATTATGTAAGGTAGGACCAAAAGCATGTTAACAAAAATGGTGTACACATGTATCCTCTTAAATTTCAAGTGAAGTTCTGACTACAGTATTTGTCTACCTGGAGGACACATCAATGTGATGCAAAGGTGAGCAGCAACTTCCTGCTGCTGATGCTGTGCCCTCCCCTGTGGATTGCTAGGACCTCTGGGGACATCACTTGGAATCTCTTAAAGCTGCAGGAAAATGTGCTGCTGTGATGTAATGAATATAGGAGACGTAGTTTAGGATACTGTTCTTATTCTTGCTGAGAATGAACAAGGTAGCTGTAGTATTGAGTGACTGTACTAGCATCCTTGCTGAAAAGTGTCTTATTTAACTGCGTGAAAGCAAATGCCTTGGCTGTAGCTTATACTTCCAGCATGATCAACTGGCTTGTGCTTGAAGCATCATGAAACTCCAGTAAGAAGGATTTAAGTATGAACTAGAGTTAGGAGTATGAGTAGATCAGAATTTTCTGAAGCGAAGATGTAACTCTTAAGTGCTTCTGCAAATGTTACCTCTTGACTTCTATGTTTTACCCGCAAGGACAAATTCTAATTTCGTTTTGTTTTTTGGAATTGGTGTCTCAGCTACCATCACCAGTGAGAATGTACTGTGCATTCTCTTTCCTGGACTTTATTTGAGTGTGGAAATAACTTTATCGGCTAATGAAAAAACCACAAACCCTCCACTCTATAGAATAATAAAGCTTTTTACTCCTAGTTAGTTCTGGTACTGAATAGACTTAATCCTAATAGAGAGATCAAAATCCTGTATATTGGTGAAAGGAAGGTATCACTGTTGGTGCCAGTGCTTGACCTGTTAATATGAGGTGCTGTTACCTGCTTCTTAGAAAGATGCCTCACATACAAGTGGTCTTTTCCCAAAAGTGGTTTCCTTACATTAAGGAATAGATCAGAGATATCTCTACAATCCTGTTTGGTTTTTTGCACGTTAGTGCTCTTGTGCCTTTTTCCTTTCCTCCCAGCATGTGAATGTCAATGCGTGGCTCTACCTTAATTGGCTGAATCTTTGTTTTTCATCGGGTAGCATTGCATCTAAGTCTCTTTTTTTCTTAGATACCACGCACAGTCTTAAACAGCAATGTTAATATAGGGAGGGGGACAAGGAAATGAGACAAAATAATGCAAAAGTATTAAAACATGGGAATATAAAGCTTTAGCCTTTAGGTATGGTTGGATGGTCTGTGAAATCGTTTTGAGCAAACATCTTGTACCAGTGCCAGTTTCACGTAAACTTAGTCCAGACAAACATTTACATCATGTAATTAAGAGTGAATTGCAGTGCATTCCTTACTGCTCTTGGCGTATATGTGCTGAATGGAAGTGAATGCAACCCTGCAGTATGTGATGTCAGTTCCTGATGCAACCTAGATGGAAAATTCCCAGGGAGTTGTTTGTGGACCATATAGTACCCTGAAGTAGGAAAGCCTCTGTCTGCAGTTTTCCACACCATCAGAGGACAACATTAGTAAAATACGTTTTTTATAACACATTAGTAAATGTTTTAAATAGTCTATTTTACCGTTGGTTGTTTTTTGTACAACTGATGGAGAATTTGGAGACGGAAGTAGCAGGTAAATGTATTTTATATACTGGATTGTTGGTTAACACATTATAGTAAAATTCTGTTTCTTAAAATGCCAACCTGAGGAAGCTGCACGAGTCTCTTTCCTGTGTGAATGTATGCATTGCTCTGAGCCTCTGAGAAATTCATCAGCTTTCTATGAAGTTTGTGCACCCTGATACTTTGGAACAAGATTTTTGTTAGGAAATGTTCTATATCCCTAATATGCTTGCCAGTGTCATGCATACCTTCATATGTATTTGGAAGCAAAAGTGTAAATCTCTAAATGATCATTGTTGGAAACTTACTGGCTGTATGCTAAGAGGCTGGGAGTAAAGCAGGTAACTTCCTTTTCAGAACTCTGTATCAAACACAAAGTAACTGAATGGGACTTCTGGTTTTCAGGTGTCTGAAAAATCAGAACTGAGATTAGAAGGTTTCTCTGTTCCAGTGGGGTATCTACAAAGGGAGTGAGCAGCATGGTGAAGAAGAGACAGTCTTCTAGGTGAAAAGCTGGATGGAGAGAGGACAGGAAAGTGAAGACAATGCAGAAGGAAACTGATATCAGAACAAAGAATACTTGGAGAATATCAACTTGTACTGCAAAAGTCAGGACTTTTAAATGTGAACATTCATCTGTGAGTGAAGAAAGCCTCTGTGCTAAAATATCCACTGCAATGACAATCACTCTGAAGTAAAGTGTGGAAGATCCAAGTTCTAATGCAGCCTGTAGGTTTGCTGATGCTGATACAGATGCATGGTTGGGTTTGAGTTTTTAGTTTGATGGAAACTATTTTATACCGTGCAGAAAAAAAGAAGTGATGATCAACATTAATTTAAATTTAAAATGTAGCTTTCTGTATCTTTCTCTGAAGGGAGTCTAACGCAAATCAGTTGCATCAAGTCCAATCTTAATTCTTGCGTTTTCTGAAGATAAATACACAGTTAGAGGTTGTCTTATATAACTGCGGTTTGAATTGCTGAAAGTAAAAACTGTCTTTTTATAGAACACTGACTCTGGGTGTATTTAAATTTGATGTACTACAAATGATATCGTAAGGTTGGGGAATTCTCACTCTTCAAATAGCTTGATTATTTTTTCTTAGTATTTTTTAATTGGTTTCATTGCCAATACTATGTAATACAAACAAACTGAAAAATAAACTTTTCTTCTGTAGTTGAATTGTAAGAAAATGGCTTAGTACTTCACATTCAGTGAATTATTGAACTCATTAAAGACTCTTTAGAAATCGTTGACCTCTAAATCTTTATCTAGGAAACACTCATGGTAAAGGATTGTTCTCATGTGAATATTTACTACTTTTTGCTAATTTTTAAACAACCACCTTTTTGGCGCTTTCAGATTATGTTAGTAGAAGTCGTAAAGAAAAGCAAAACATCACTATCACTTTCAAACCAGAAGAGCAACAACTGTTACGTGTTAGTTGTACTCCAAAAAGTCTGGCAGGTATGAGTCAGACTTTAGGAAAATTTAAAGTCCTCACCAGTTCCTGAAATATTTAGAAAAATGGACAGTTCTGCCTTTTTAAAAAGAAAAACGGGTACATTCATAGTCAGGCGATAAGACTATGATGTTCCTGTAGGAAGCACTATTAAATCAGAAGACTAACAAAAAGTGTTAGTATGTCTTAAGACCTGCAAAAGGTTGTGCTGTAACACATGCTCATTGTATGTATTTATTCACTAGTGTCAGGAGCAGGGACCAGAACGCGAGATAATCTTGTCAGTGTCCAAAGAGTATGTTTGGGTCATGTTACATTCTGTTCTGGGCCTGTAATTCTTGGATTCTTTTCTGCAGAGTAAGAGGCCATCAGTGGGGGAGATAAAAGAGTATCTTTATGTAAAAAGTAACCTGGAGGTGAACATTCCCTTGAGATGTGTGTGCTTGAACTCCCACAACCTGAAAAAGCACTGCTGCTATCTCACTTGGAAAACCAAAATAACTTCTCCCTTCATAACTATTTTGTAGTGCCCAATACTTTGAAAGTATGGCAGCTGTGCTTGCCTTCTGGCCTAGATGCCAGGGAACATGGCACGTGCTGGCTGGATGCACAGGGGGAGCAGAATAGATGATGTTTTTGGAATTTTCGGGTCAAGTGGTGAGGTGTCAGGTGAGTGTAGGTACCTCTGTGGTTAGCTGTCTTTCTTCGAAATTTAGATAGGCTTTAGGGGACAGCATACTTACGTGGATATTGCCCTAATGCCTTTATATAGATGTATCTTCCCCCCCGCCCGGTGTTCTTGCAACTTCTCCCACATTCTTCTCTACTCTGCGTTTGGATGTAGTTGTTCCTTATAACTGTTCAATCTAAGCCTGCATCCTGTTGTACTTGCTATTTTAACTAATCCACTTAGTATCAACTGATGTGGAACAAAAGTCCTTTGGTAGTCTTGCTTTTGGTTTAAACTAGATTTATACCAGTGCAGTGAAAGACCCAAATTAATCTAGAAAATTTTGATTTAATAAATAACTTTCACAGAACTACTGAGGTTGGAAGGGATCTCTTAAGATCATCTTAGCCCACCCTCCCCTGCTCAAGCAGGGTCAGCTGGAGCAGGCTGCTCAGAACTGTGTCCAGTTGGGTTCTGAGTGTCTCCACAGATGGAGACTCTGCAACCTCTCTGGTCAGCCTTTTCCAATGTTTGACCACTCTAGCAGCTAAACAATAAATACATACACAATTTTTTTCCCTTGCTTAGATGGATTTCATATGCTTTAATCTGTGGCCATTGCCTTTTGTCCCCTGTGGTGTCTCTTCTCCAGGCTGGAGGGTTGCAGCTCTCTCAGCCTCTCTTCATCTGAAGGATGATTTAGTCCCTTAATCATCTTAGTGACACTTAGCTGGCTTGCTCTGGTATATCGATGTCTTTTCTACTGGGGATTCCAGAACTGGACCCAGCATTCCAGGTATGGCCTCACCAGCGCTGAGGAGAAGAGAAAGATCACCTCCCTCCACCTTTTGGCAGTGCTTTTCCTAACGCGGCCCAGGAGGTGTTGGCCACCTTTGCCATGAGGTTGTGTTGCTGGGTAATGATCAGCTGCTTGTCCACCAGGGCTGCAAGGTCCTTCTCTTGCAGAGCTGCATTCCAGCCTGTTGATTCCAGCATATAATACTGCAGATTACCCTTGCAGAGAAAGCCTAAGACACGTAGTAGTGTGTACTTTCACTGTTGCATTGCAAAGACATAATTTACTTAGCTTATATCAAAACATTTTCATAGAATCACTTCTTGTAGTATTGACACCCAAAATAAAACACTTGGATGTGTTGCTCTGGCAGACTTTCTGTCTTCTTTCTTAGAAACAATTAAGCAAAATTTGAGTCAGAAATTTTCTCCTGAAGAATTAATTTTGTGTTTTTCAGAATAGGTAAATCATAATGTCTTCTGTAGTTTTTACAGGAATGGTAAATGTCTGTACTCTTTTTCCAGGGGACCTTTAGGTCCTCTGCTTCCTAGTTTATACTTTTCTCATGTATTTCTTCAAGCATTCTTGTTCAAATGTTATTGGTGTTTTGCCTGCTATGAAGAAGAAGAAAGAATTGCAAGAGCTATATATACATATACTAGAGTGATACATGGATAAATCTTTTTTTCCCATCTAAAAGCTGTGGAGCTGAGTATCACAGACTGCGAAGTAAAGATTACCTCTAAAAGTGTTTGTGTGTAAAATGTAGAATAAAAGATGTGGACTTGTGCTTTTGCAAATAATATAGAATACTCTAGATAGCTTCCAATAGAGCAAAACTGGTTTCGGTAACCTGGATCTGAACTTCTTTGAGTTTTAGATTAAAATCAGTGTGTCAAATTATATCCAGAATAAAAATAATTGATGCAGATAAAATTCAATCTTAGTGCTGATGTAACTCAACCCCCAAACTCTATTTAGCTTTGTTCTGCACTATTTGAAGTTTCCACGTGGTCTGAAAATTACTGTGCTTCATTAATTCCATCTGAAGAGGATTTAACAGTTAGATTTCTGTAGATGGAATAATGTGTAAAAGTCACTTCTTGATATACTATGGACTGCACGGGTGCAGTTTTGGCCAGTATGCCCCTCTGGACCTCTATAAGCAGCTGAGAATCCAATAAAGATCTCTAAATTATGGGCATTATCTAGTTGATTGAAGGAGCTTATTCTACTTACTGCTCTGCCAGCCAGCCAATGTAACATCTGATATTTAAACTCATTATCTGTGTATCTGAAACAGTTTGCTTGTATCATAGCTTAAATACAAGTTAATGTAATCAGCTACTCCATCTGCATTTGAAATGAGGATGGTGAGCTAGAGATGATGAGCCAGTTTGCTCTCAGATTTCTTAAAAAGTGAAGCATCTGTCTCTACTTGCTATTGACTGCAAGTCTATTTGCCTTATAAAAGTAGGGTATTTCAAAGCTATAGGAGCCATCATGTATTACTGTATGTTGTGGTTAGAAGATGTAGAAATTATTCTGATTACTAAAATGCTTACTAAAAAGTTCTTAGCAATGTCTGAAAAATATTGTAGGCTGGAGGAGGAATTACACAGTGGAGAAGCAGAGGAGTTTAAAAATGTCTTTGATTAGTTTTGTTTTTTTTTCTTAAAGGAGAACAATTTAATGAGTTGAATTTTGAAGGTAATAAAAGATGCATTTCAGATACTGCTGCAGAGACTCTGAATGCTACTGCGAGTGTAAAGGCTACTTAGTAGGAGCCTCCAGGAGGTCTTTAATACCAGTCTGGTTCAGAAATTTTTCAACCAGTTAGGTGATAAACTGTATTTGGTGTAAGGAGCCAATTAAAAGGCGTGTAAAGCAGGCTGAAGTCAAGATTGCTGTTGCTGCGGTCTGTAAAAGCAGCAAATCAGTCATATAGTAACCCAGGAATAAGGGATCGGCAGCAAGGGAGTCTTAAGGTTGTGCTAATACTGGTTATTGGTGCTAGAACCTGGGAGGCAGAAAAGGATATTGCCTAATGTTGTTAGCAGAAAGTCATATTTTCAAGTCGTGTGTGACATAATTTTCCAGTGAAGGGGCACGGTTTAAAAACAATCATTAGCTTCCTAATCAATCTCCTCAGGCAAGGAAACCATTGTGGGTTTGTTACTGTTCACCTCCAAACCTTTTTTTATCCCTCTGCTTGAGAGCAAGGCAGATCTCATGGTGTCTACTGACAGTATTACTCAGGATGTTGAAAGCTTTACAGACTGTGCATTGCATAAAATGACACAGTACTGATAGTACTTGTTGTGCTTCATGATCTTTTTAAACAGCTCATCTGTATTAGGCAATCTGATCTTTCTAAATAGCTGATCTTTATTAGGCAACCAGAATAACCAGCTAGTACTTGTTCGGTAGGAGGCTGCAGTCCATGCCCTTCGTTGACAAGGTACAGTCCACACTTCTAGCCATTGAAAAGGAAATGGAGCTGCTGAAGATATATTAACAAATTCCCAAATGAATTAAAAACTGCTTTTAATATACAGTGCAGATCGCTTAAAAGAAGTGGTTGGCCTAATATTTAATATTAAAGAGGCACTTGTTACATAAGCTTATTATAATAATTTTTTTTGTGAGACTTGTGTGTAGGTAATTCTGGAACTCGGAAGCTGCTGTGAGTGAGTATGCAAGAACCACTAGTGAGTTTTTTCTAGTCAGTCTCTAAAAAATAAACCCTGAACACTAAGTCTTCTTGTTTCCCTAAAAGCTGGCATAAAGTGTTAATTCTTTTATAAGGAACAGGTAGATGTCTTCACACTTCGGAATGGTCGTCCTGTTTCTTTCAAACTCAAGGGTGGGAATCTAGCTGAAAACTTGTCCTTCTGATCTTGTCCTCCTTTATAGAAGGCCGTGTTTGGTGTGGTTTAGAAATGTAGCTTTCAAACTGGGTTACTTGTTTGTTTTTCTGATCTGTTATAGTTACTGCTGTACTTCAGTGGATTACTGAGAAGAGTGTTTTGTAGGCACATAACATATTGGTAGTAGCATAAAGTCATACATCTGCCTGGTATTTGCCTCAGCCACTCTTGTAGCTGGAGCTACAGATAACTGGTCTCAAGGAACTGATAAAACTAAATACTTCATCAAAGAAGAACCTGGATACCTAAAGGCAGTCAGACTAAGACTATCTTAAATGCTATGCTATCTAAAAAACCTTGGTTTGCTTACAGGCGTCTAGAACCAATGTATGCACCTCTTGGACTTGGTAATGTCTTTTTTGATGTAGCGCAGGGTATATGATTAAATTCTGGGAAGTTTTTCAGATGCAGGAAGGGGTGTTCACTGTAACCTAATTCGTAAACTATTGGCAATTTATCTATTAGATCAGAGTAGTTCTGAGTATTAGTGAATAATGAAGGTGAAGTTCAACAGGAGGCCTGACTGGGTGTAGTGACTTCTGTTGCCAAGAGGCAGTGCTGCTACTTGTACCCTTCTCTCCAGGTTACGGAGTCCCACTCCCTCTCATG